TTCTTTATTTTATTTTTCATTTTATTTCTCTTTATATTTTATCTTTATTTCTTTTATTTTTTTTTTATTTTTTATAATAATATAAAGTAAAAAACTGGTTTTCTTAATTAGTTATTTGACAAATACTAGCTTTATATTATTTTTTTATTCTTTTTCTTTTTCTTATAATAATATAAAGTAGAAAGCTGATTTTTTTAATTAATTATTTTGGCAAATACTAGTTTTATATTATTGAATATTTTATTTTTCTTTTTTTATAATAACATAAAGTAATAACTGTATTTGTAAATAGTATTTTGACAGATATTAGTTTTATATTATTGGAATTTAAAAAACCATATATAGCTTAGGACAGCCTGATTATCTGTTGCTAATTGTCTTTTTTAATGTCTTAAGATACTTCTAAGTTTAACATAGATAATTCTTGTAAAAGATAAACTATTTGTTAAGTCTGATTAATACAAATAAAACAATAGATCAAATCTTCTCTACAATCAGTCTATTATAAAAATTCTTATAATATCTAAGAGGCTATTGAATTTAAATTTTATTTTTAATTAATTATTATTTTTATTTATTTTATATATATATTTTTTTTTTCTTTAAATAAAAGATCTTTTACTTAACACTCATCACTTTAAAATTTGCTACAACTTGATAGTTTTTAGTAAATTTTATTACAATACTTTTTTTGTAATAATTTATAGAATTATATTACCAAAAAAAATCAAAAGATCAAAGAAATCACTAAAAAATATAAAAAATAAAATAATTTTTTTTCTAAAAACTACTCTTAGTATCATTATCAAAATATTTTTTTTCAATATTACCAGTTATATAAAAACTAAAAATTCTTTAAAGTTCATTTAATTAAAGTTAGAATGTATAATAATATTAAAATTAAAGAAAGTTTTTAAACAAAACAAATATTTGTTTTAAATTTTTCTAACTGTGTAATGTTTCACCTAATCTTGAGATCTGATTTGTTTGTACTACAAAAAAAATCACGTAACTGCAACTTTTTTTAGACGATACTGGGGTTGTTCTACCAGGTGCAGTCATATGAATTTCTGTGATGTAAACAAATCAGATTTCAAGATCAGGTGAATCGTTACACAAACATTTACTCAAAACGTAGCATAAAAAACCACCTATAGTGCTCTAACAAAAGTTTTCCTTGAACGATTTTACTATTAAACCTCCTCTAACCCTAACATTAGCATAAACCCTAAACGAACTTTAAGAATTTTCGGTACTCACGTGATTGCGACATTTTGATGGGAAGATCGCTCTGAATATTATCCACCAATCAAAATCCAGGATTTAGTGTAACGTGAAATGTTTTGGTTTCCCTAAATATATGGGCAGTCGTCAATAGAAATAAGGCAAATTGACATTTTAAAAAAAATTATCTTAACTTTCACAGCTCATATCTCGATAGAGTTTGATGCTACCTTGATGATGTAATATTCAAAAGGAAGCTTGAATTGTAAGCTTTCTTTTGGCTATTAAATCATCAGGATAACTTCAAAATCCATCGAGATATGAGCTGTGACGGCTGCCTATATGTTTTTTCCTTTTATTTATATATTTTGATTTTTAGATATTAGATCGGATGCTTCGGAAGTCACATGACCGACCCTTTTTTTCGCCATGGCTAGGGTTTTATCGAGGTTCAATCGAGGTTCAATCTAATCACGCAATACGCGTTTCCCTTTCGAAATTGACCCTTAAACTGATCACGCAATTTTTCGCGTTTATCTTTCAAAATTAACATGTCTTCAGAATACCGCAGGGAACTCATCAAAGCTGGAATTGTGAATTACTGGAATCGAAAGTCGCTTTCTAAAAATGTTGGATTATTTAATTGCCTTCGACAAATAGACACTAAGTTAGATTTAAAGCTGGATGAAAAGCGAGAAGTTCATGCAGCTTACTTTAATCATCTCTTTAATCTTTCTAAAGAAGAATCGATCAATAAGATGTTACGAAACAAAGTTCTGGCCGAAAGCAGGAATTCCGCCGCATGTATACAGGTCTACTTTGAAGCGGACGAAAAAGTCACAAGCAATTGAAATATTTGTTTTTTTATTCCAGGCAATAGTTAACTCTTCCGAAATAACAAGATTCTGGGAAAGTAAGAAAGAAAAGACTTACAGGAAAACTTTGGACGAACATACGCGAAGAGAAAAGGAGTATTTGAGCTCCCTTCATCTCGCACAATTACAGGATGAAGATAATAAGAAGGAACGTGAAACCGATAAAGATGAGGTCGATAAAGATGATGTCGATAAAGATGAGGACGATAAAGATGATGTCGATAAAGATGATGTCGATAAAGATGAGAACGATAAAGATGATGTCGATAAAGATGAGGACGATAAAGATAAAGACGGTGGCTCATTAGCTACAATGAATGGTGATATCTTCGTCCCAGATGAAGGCTTCAAATTTGTTGAAAGACATGAACCGGACACTATAAGTCGGACAAAACGCTGGATTTTATCAAGTGGAACCGATGTGGGTCAAGTATTGGACGCTTATAGATGTCTAATACCTGAATCAGAAAAATGCGTGAAGTGAGTTTTTTTCCACTAGTGATTGCATCTTTTAACAATGCTCACATTTCGTGAACTTTTTCTATTCAATAGTCCTGTTTACTGGGGAATCCTCGATCTCACCGGGACTCACCCAGAAACAAAACAACTATTCTCTACGGAAGATTGGACTGAGATGTTGAAAAGCTTCGAGGACGAAATAGAAACTATTGAAGAAAATATACCTGACGTTGTATATTTGTTCTTCGATGAAATTGAGCAGGTAACTATTGATGATTTATGTTCTATTACATTTAGATTTTGCTCATGTTATTCGTTCGTTTCAGATAATAAAGAATAATGAGAGGAGTGAGGATATTGTAACGAAGATTGACGGGATTTCTTCACAGAAAATAGAAGCAAAGTACGAGATCACACTCGATGAACAAGATAAAGACTATATATTTGAAATCAAGAGAGCGGTCTTGACATAGTAAGTAAAATACAGTATCGCTTTTTTTGTTGCAGCTTGAATTTCTCTTTGACCACTTTTTCATAGTGCGGAGAACTTAGCCGATGTTGATTTGCCGGTCTCGGAGTCTGCTTTTGATAATTCGTTTACAAATATGCTGACAAGGAGATTTCTCGATAAGTCCGAACTGAAAATGGACTCGTAAATTGAAGAAATTATAACAGGCATGATTGTTTTATTAATTAATCTCTTTTATACACTCATATATTTCTTTAGAGGAGAGATCTGTTCCTGGGCTTCGGCTCAACGACGTAACGAAGGTCGCTCAATTACACTCCGTGCCCGAGTGGGGCAAAAATGCGACTTTCGGGGAACGTTAAAACACAGTATAAATAAGTTAGAAGCGATAACAGGCCTCCGAAGCGGTGGTCTCCCAGAACCACATCGTAAAAAAATTTTTTTGGATAGTCTTGACTTATCCATAACGATGAGGGATATCCTTCACGCATTTTTCAACTCCAATGCGAACGCATCGGATGAAGATTTACATAAAATATTTGTTCTTGGAGTCCAGTCATGGGGTAAGCAGATAATCGACACAAACTAAGCTTCCTTCATAAATATTTACATATATATTTTTTGTTTCAAAGGCTGGACACATAAGATCGTTGCTATGGATTGCAAAGGGACGAACATTTGTAGGTATGGGAAGTTGTGCACAACAGCCTTGCCCAATTCCATAAGAACACTCGCATGTCTAGAAAAGTTTTACGTAGAAATGAAAAATGTTAAAGTAATTTTTTGATTTGTCATGTTACTGTTTTATAAATGTGCATAATGCAATTTTTACGTAATTATAGGCTACCCTTAACTACATATGCAATAAAGCAAATAACATTGCTTTATCCCATGCTCGAGCACATAGAAGAAAGCGAAAGGGAAAGAATCGAGAAGAACATGCCAATATTGAGGTTGGAGGCTGTTTTGGCAAGATTACTGGAACACCTTACTCAAAAAAGTCACGAATATTGGAAATTTAACTTTTACTTTTTTATATGTATTTACATGAAGTAGTTAGCTTAATTAAGTTTATCGAATTCACATGAATTATGAGTTATTAAGGCACATAGATTTCTTTTATTGACTGTGTGATTGTCTCATCCGAATATGACATATGACTATTGTTTATAGTTCATCTCATAGGAGGGTGTTTAGCGTTGGACTTGTTTGATTGCACTAACCTATTGCTTCAAAACAACTCCAAATGGTCAAACCATTTTTAAAAATGGCGAAGACCTCGCTAATGACAACCGGACCACACCAGCAAGACTAAATTCTGCCTTTGCAGAAAAATCTCTTGATGCTGTGCTTGGCAAAGCGGGCATGACATAGTGTGGCATATTTGTCTACTCTCGTGTCCCCCTATACACTGACACAATGTGGCTACTTGCTACTCTGGAAGTGTGCCAGTTCCAAAGTCATGTTCTGGTGTTTCGAAATTGACTGTCTTACCTTTAGAAAAAAAAATACAAATTTTATCTCTATTCTGTAATAAACTATAATTACACATGTACGATTTTGAATTTTTTGGTAACGGACTATTACTAATAATTTCACATACCAATAAAATAATGTGCATATACAATGATCATAGACTAAGAATCTAAAGTTGTAACTTTATTCAATTCACGAAGATGCTCAGGAATAATTATATATGGATCTTCGTAATGCCAAACATACCTAGGGCAATCTGATTTTCTTTGCATAATTTTTTCTTAAGTTGATCCCGTGCCTGTTGTTTGATACAATTATTGGGATCGCCTTTATGAAAGAATCTATATATCTTTCGTGTTGTTTTCCTTGTACTTAGGTTGCAAATTCATATCGTGGGTAATAAATGTCAAGTTCTAATTCAGTTGGGTGATCTAAAGTTTTAAGTAAATCATGTTGACGTATCTGAGATGGCAGTCCAAGATATTTTGGCATAATCTCTTGATACAGTCTTCCACGTTTATATTTAGAGCAATATTAATCACCCGATTTGTCACATAAAAAAATTTTTTTTACTAATATAATATAAAATTTTATTTTGAACAAGTTTACTTAAAAGACAAAATAGATTTTCTTAGTAAAAAAAGTTATATATTGAAAAACTACAAATTTTATATTTATTATATAGTAAATTTATTTTTTTACTAAGATAACCAACTTATATCTTTTAGATAAAGTTGTTCAGAATAAAATTTACATATAATTAAAGATTTATAATTAAAAATTATTTTTTATAGTAATATTATACAAATAAAATATACAAAATTTTTAAAAATTTTATATATAATTTAATCCAAACTTTTATTTTAAAAACATATAAAATTTCTTAAATTTTGAAGTTTTGATGTTTTTTAACTTATATACTAACAAAAAAATTATTATTATTATTATTAAGATTAATATTTAATAGTAACCAACATCTTTATTTGTGTTTTTAGTTAATACATTACATATTACTTGTATATATGTAACTTTTAGTTATCTATTTAAGTAGTTCACCTGAAGGTTTTATACTAACTATCATATCTATTATCTACTAAGTAACTATTTATTTAAACATTCTGGTCCTTATATTGTATCTAGACAGTAGTTAACTCAGTTTTTGTATAACTAAATATTGTTTAACTCAATGTTTAAATTTCTTTTCTGTATATTTATTAAGCTGTTACCTAATTCTAAAGCATATTACTTAACTGTAAAGCTTAAAAAGTTTTTTTGTTAACTAATCTACCTATTTTATAGATTATTAACCAAGTTTGCAAAATTTATCTAGACCTTAGCATCTATTTTATAACATATTCTTAGTATTTTTAGTCTTTTCTTTAAACTTTTAATCTAGATAGTCTAGTAGAACTATGACTAGCCTATTGATGTATTAGATTAGCTTGATATTTTTTTTTTAGTTTTTTTAATTAAAATTTTGAAAGTTTAGTTAGTAATATTCTCTATTTAGAGATTTTTGCTTGTCTATATTAATATCTATTTTTTTAGTTTTAGTCTTTATATTAGTGTTGTTAAAGATCTGTATTATTATTTTATTTGGATTTTTCTAAATAGATTTCTTGTTTTTTTAATTTTTATAAATTTATATAATTACAAGAACTTATTTTAAGTTTATATCATACAATGTTAATTTGCATTCTTTGTATAACTAGTTATACAGATGTCTTATAACTGCCAATTATACTAATGTAATTATAATTACAGATATCTTAATTAAATTATTAAAAATAATTGCTATAATACAAATATTATATAGATAATTGTTTAATTTTTATTATCAATAGGTTTTGAACTTACAATTTATTACTTGAAGGATTAATAATTTATTTACTTTATTAAGTTATCATACTTTTAACAAAAAATTAAATTTTATTATTAAATATATATATATATATTTAGTATTAAAAATAATCAGAATTGACAAAGATCAAAATAAACACATTCTTTTTGATGATCCTCTGACCAATAACAACAACAAACTAATCTACAAAAAAATATTATAGCAAGATCAAAAAAGAAAATATTTATGGTCCTATATAAAGTAGATTATTATTAATAAAGCCAAAATAGATATAAAATACTAAAGAGCAGATGTATTTGCAATTGTTTGAAGAGAGGTCAAACTTTTTTTCTTAGTAGACTTTTTTCTTTATTCAGCATCCAAACTAGAAGGATATTCTAGAAATAATTGTAAAAAAACTTAAGTTAAGATTATTAAAATCTTTAAAACAACTACTATACAATTGTAAAACTTACTTAAAGAACTATATATAAAAATTGATGTTTTTACTTTTTATCAAGAAAATTTTGTAAAAATAGATGATTTAGTTTATTTTCTTCAAAAAATTGATATATAAAATCACCAAAACAGTCATCAGTATTTATTTCCTAAATAGGATTGGTACTAACATAGATTGAAAACAATACAGTAACACAAATATGACTTATATACATATCTCAAATTACTAAAATTCTGTAAAATACTGCTTTCAGACTAACTAGTAACTCATACTGACTTTTTATATTCAAGTTAAAGTTTTATCCTATATAGTTTTTGTTAAATATTCTAAATAAATAGAAAAATAATAAAGTTAATTCTATTTAGTATAGTTTATAATTTTTAAAAACCTAACACAAACTTATAATTGTGACTATCCAATAGTTATATGACAAGAGTCACATATATTTTTTTATTTTTTCTTCATTTCTTTTTTTTTTCTTTTATTTTATATGTTATATTTTTATTATTTACTCCTATACTTCTGTGTTTTTTTTATATATAAAATTTTTTTGTTTTTGTTTACTTCTTTACAAGAAGATGTAATTAGATGCAATCTCTAGTATATTCTAATATTTTATAAAATTGAATAATCAATACAGACAAATCATTTGTAAGGCTTGTAGAGTATTTGCAAGATGTTAGACTAAAACTTATACAACTTTGTATATATGTATACAAAAGATTTGCTCAAGTGAAAAAAAAAATATTAAAAATAAGATTATGCTTTTAATTTTATTGAAATTTAAATAAAATTTTTATAAAACAAAACTTGTTTTTAAGAATAAAAAATGATATTTAAAATTATATAAACTTAATATTATAAAAAATTGTATTAAGTAAACTAATTTTAATTATTAAATAAAAGTTTTTTTTTTTAAATATTAACAATGAGGCTATGCCTTTAATTTTATTAAAATTCAATTAAAGTTTTTATAAAGAAAAGCTTGCTTTTAAATTACATATAAAGAATAAAAACTCAAACATATAATCTGTAACCTAAATCTACAAGAGTAACCAAGACTTATCTAGATTTGGGTTTAAGTAATAATATAAGAGAGAGGGGTATAGTATTTAATTCATTGAATAGTCCAAAGATCAATTTTAGTGATAATTTGTGATATTGAAATAGAGGATAAAGGTAGACTAAAAGAGTGACTATGAGTTGAATTAGTAGAAAGTATAGTCTGAGACTATGCAGAACATAAAATATAGTATAAGATCTATATTTGTTTATATATTTGTTGGTTTAAGTAAAGAAGAAATTTGATAGAAAAAGTAATAGTAGTATAGTAAGAAATAGAAGCATTGTGGATAGTAGAAATAAGATCAATAAGAACTAAACCAGATAGAGTAAAAATAAAGAAAGATATATATGAAGAGTTGTATAGTTTAAAACTGTTAAGTGTAAGAATTTCAGTATATAAATCAAAAACAAGATTGGCAGACATGTCAAGATTAGTTGTATTTAAAATACTATTAAGAGAATTAGAGATTAAGTGGTAAATTGTTTGAGTTAATGGGCAGATGACCCAATGGAGTAAAAAGTTAGTCTGGTTGCATTAATAACAGGAAGAAGAGAATGAAGAAATACGTTTATAAAGAGTATGAGAAACAGGAAATTCATCTGTAAGGATTTTAACTCAAAAGGTTTTCAGAGTAGATGAGTAAAAGCTATGAACAAAGTTAGAAATTTTTTAATTGTTGCTAATGTAAAGCCATATAGCTTCTTAGTTAATGTTAGATACAATAGTAAACTATTGTTGAAAATAATATTGAGATGTTTATAGTGTTATAATGTGGGCTTGACATATAGTTCGAATAGAGTGTTGAATAGGAATTTCAATAGGAAATTCATCAATAAAAGAAATATAGTTGAGGTTATAAGGATTATTAGTTAAAAATATTAGATAAAATAATATTTGATGATTGTGAGCAAGTTGGTCAGCAAGGTTGTTAAATAGATCATCTTGGTGTATAGTAACTTTATGAAAAGTAAGTTGAATTTTGTAAAACTTGATAAAGTTAATAAGTGTTTGCCAGATAGAGAAATATAGAGTATAAATATAGAAAAGAGTAGATGCTGATTGGCAGATCTTGTGGTATTTAGAGATTATTGATTGTGAGTCAATGAATATGTGAACAGAGCAATGTCTAGGAATAGTCATAATTGCTAAGAGAATAGTAAGAATTTTAGCTTTGAAAAAGCATGTTCATAGTTTAATCTGTGCCTAGAATGAATTAATAGTTGTAAAGTTATCAACTTGAACCTAACCTATGCCTATAAAGCATTGTGAGATACCAAGATCAATAACAGAACCATTGGTATAAAATGAAATAGATGATAGCTTGTGATTTGAGTTAGCAATAGTCTGAAGATTGTTAACAAGTTGACATGTTTCAAACATAGATAGTAGTAGTTGTAAATTAATTATAAATGAAGGAGGAGATGGAATATATAAAGGATATTGAAGAACAATAGAATATGCAATATCAAGAAAGTTTGCATGAAGATTGAGAGTTTTGTTAGAATTGATGTGACAAAGCAGTTTAGTAGTCAAGTTAGTAGGAATGAAAATAATACATTTGTTAGTAATTGTATTTAAATTAAGATGGCATCTAGTATATAATATAGTAATAAAGAAAGAAGTAGGATAGAGATTAAAGAACTAAGACTGAAATGAGCATTGCCAGTAGTTGATAAGAGTAAGGTTAGTAGATGTATTATGCCTCTGGTCTTGCCAACAATTATTTAGTTATCAAAAACAATAAGTAACCAAGGTTTAGTATTAAAAATAAAGTGACCAGTAGAGTAGTAGAAGTAGTTTATGAAAGATAAATTATAATGATCATGTAGAGTCTGTTGGTAGAAATAACTTGTAGTAATGTCCTCAAGGATAGTAAATTATTATGGTATAACACCTTTTGAAATTTTGTTAAGTCTAAATAAAATGTGTTGTTAGTGCAAAAAACATGAGTTGTTATAAATAGTAAGTTGGTCCAGAAAAGAAGTTTATAGTATCAGAGTTGTTTTTTAAAAATGGAATATTTTGGATGAGAAGAAAGAAGAGATTTGAGAGATATAGTTCCATCATTAAGAGTTTAAAGAATGTTGTAGATTGGGCTAGTTGAAAAAGTCCACCTATATATTTGATAAGTTGTATTATTTTGAAGTTTGTGGTTAATTGATTGGATTTATCAATGGTTAACTTAGGATAAAAAAAAATGTTAGTAGAAGACCAAAGGTTGTTTTGAAGTTGTTAAATATGTATACAGGTAAATGTGTCTAGTAGGTTAGGAGTGTTAAGCCATTTGAGAAGATTGGGAATATGGTGTTGTAGTTGGATATCCTAGATATGTTTAATGTTATAAATGTAAGAATGTAATAAAGTACTAGAGGTATTGTACAGCAAACTTTAGCTTTAAGCTTAACAAAAACAATGTGTTAAGTAAAATTTTGTTACAAATAGGTTGGTTGATAACAATATTATGTAAGCAGTATTCAATAATAGGGATATTAACTATATTAATAATATAGCAGGCATGTGAATCAGTTATATATTTTGTTTTTGCAATTTGGATAAGTTGGGAGGATTCAGAGATAATTAATTTTATTTGTTTAGATTGCCTATTATCTAAAGTAAATCAGCAATCTAAAAATTTGAAGAGTTGTTTAAAAGAATGAAATAGAAATAGATGATTATTATAAGAGATAGGAGTATAGTTAAATGGAGGGTTATTAGTAGTCAGAATAGATTTTGAGAGATTAACTTAGATGTTTGTCATAGTATAGAATAATTCAGCTATAGATAATATATGAGATAACTTAGTTTGTGAAGAAGTGACCTAAAGAGTATCATTCATATATGTTAAAACAGAGCATTGTTTTTGTAATGAGTTAGTTGTTTGAAGTTTTAGATTGGTCATCCAAATAGATTGTAGAGTATATCTAGAAACTTTTGAGTATATATATAAAATAAGTGAATCATAATAAATTTGTCAAAATAAAGATGTAATTGTTTTATCTTGGTTAATACCATATAAACTGGATAAAAGGAAGTAAGACCAAGATTGGTAATAACTTGGTTGTGATGATCAGTAAGGAGATCAATAAGAATGTTGATAATGAATGAAGAGAGTAAAAGGCAAAAGAGTGAATGTTTGAAAAAAGCAAAGTTTATAGAATCATATGCTTTGCTTATATCTTGTAAGAGTAACCAAATATCTTTGTGGTTACAGATAGCATCATCAATAAGATTATCAAAAATGTGAATAGAAATTGAAGTACTATTATTGGGGAGTGCAACATAGTTAAAAGGTGAGAGAATAGGGTTTGAAGAAAATACAGAGTTAAGTTAGTTTGTAAGAATTTTTGTATAAAGTTTGTGAATGTATTCAATCAGACTGATAGGTCATATGAGATTAAGATCACCATCAAAGGTGTTGCATTTAGGAATAAAATAAATTCTACTATGTTTTCATTGTTTAGAAATTCTGTTGTCAAAAAGACAACAATTAAAGAGAGCTGTAATAGCAGAAGTGTATTGGGGGCTAATGTATTTAAGCATTTCATAACTAATGTCTGTAGGACCACATGCTTTGTTATTAGGTAGTTGTGAGAGGATTTGAAGAAGTTCTTCATTAGTAATGGGAGTGTTAAGCAAATGATACCAATTTGGATTGATGTAAGAAAGTAGAAGGTATTGTTGTTATCAAAAATTATTAAAGAGGCTTTTATTGATAGGTCTGAGTGCAGTCCAATTATGAAAATAAGATTGAACATGTTGTTTAATAAGCGATGGATCTGTAATAAGTTGGTTTGGTAATTTTATGTTTAAAAGATGAATAAGTTGATGATAGTGATTAAGGATACAATTAATAGCCTGATTAGAATGTGTTATAAGAGTAACACATCTTTTGTCAGTGTTTTTATTAAATTGTTGTCAAAGTAAAAGAGAGTTTTCAAAATGACAGGCATGATAAAGTTGTTTCCAAATGGAATGGGCATGTTGAAGCTATAGTTAAATACAGGAGAAGTTGGTAGAGGTGAGTAGTTGAAGGTCACATTGTGACTGTTTATTAATTTGAAAGATATTTTGGTTAATACTTGAGATATTAGAAGATTAGATGAGTTTTTTTAATAAGTTTAATGATATGTCTGAGTTTTTTAAGAGAGAGATGTAGTAAAGTACTATGAGATGAGTATTGGTGATTGTAATTTTATTTGTAAGAGATTTTGTTAGGAATTGTATAAGTAATCCTTTTCCACAGCCCATCCTCATGTTCACTGCTTCTCTTACCATTCCAGTCTTGGTTACTTCCAGACTACTCTCCCAATCAAATCCTTTTTCCTTGGGTTCCAATTAGGACTTATTTGCACAATCCGATGATTATCCTTTCAAGCAAGTACCCCACAAGTTGGGTGTGAAGATGTTGGTATTGCCTAATTAGAAGGTATAGGGATGTTGGTGCTGCCCTAGCCTGAAGGACTTACATGTGCAATCTTTCCATAATCGTAACCTTCTGTAACAGCTGCTTGTTACATATAGTGCCTGCACTCCATGATTGGGTCTCCTTTCAGGAATTCCTACTTCGGTCATGTACTGCACTTGGACTTATTCACAAGGCTTCGCATTCAATTACTGGCTCCTTATTGGGTTACAGAGGCTAAAATCTTTTTAGTTTTTGTCTCCAGCCAGACTTGAACTGTTGACCTTGACTGTGGGGGCATGGGAGCTTAACCACTAAGCTATGGGATCCACATCCTTGTAAACATAGTCTTAAAGAGCTATTTAGTAACAAAGTTCTATATATTCTATTAATAGTATATTAAATATTAGTATAATAAAAGGTAATAATAGTAATATATAGAGTTTTTGCTAACAAAATAACCTTTTGGGACTATATGAAACATAGTTTCAAAGAGCTATTTTGTAAACAAAAATTACATATATTCTGTTTATTAAATATTACTATGCATTTAGATACATCATATACAATTTTTCTGCTTTGCATATATTGCTAAAGACTACTTGACCATCTTAGTATTTTTTATTACTTCTAAATGTGCCTTTTCTTTAGGCAGAAATATAATCACAAACAAGAGGTTCAGTTTGGCACCTAAAACTGTAAGAGCAGCACAAGCCTTAAGTTATAGATGCAAGGGTTATTGAAGAAAAAGTTAGAAATTTGTAACAACAAAGTTTAACTTTAAAAACTATAATGTTTACTTACTTAATAAATAATATATAAAGTTTATCTACTATTTGAGCATTGTTTTAAAAAAAACTTTAGAATGTGGGTCCCAAAGCTTAGCAGTTAAGCTTCTATACCCTTCACAGTTAAAATCAATGGTTCAAGTCCAGCTGAAGGCAAAAATTGAAAGATTTTAGCTTTTGTAATCTAATAAGAAACCTGTAATTGAACATAAAGCCCTATGTTTAAAAGTCCAAGTGCAATACAATGATAGAAATAGAAATTCCCAGAAGAAGACCCAATTGTGAAGTGGAGGCACTATGCATAACAAGCAGTTGTTACAAAAGGTTACAGTTATAGAAGGATTATGCATATAAGTTCTTTAGGCTAGGGCAACACCAACATTCTTATATCTCCTAATATAGGCAGTACCAACATCCCTGCACTCAACTTGTAGAGTACTTGCTTGGAAGGATAATCAACGGATTGTGCAAATAAGTCTTAATTGGGATCCAAGAAGAGGATTTGATTGGGAGAGTAGTTTAACAAGTAACCAAAACTAAAATGGTAGAGAAGTGATGAACATAAGGATGGACTGTGATAAAGAATTGGTCTAACCAAAGTTGAAAGCATCTTTGGCATAGCCGAATAATCTAATTATAGAAGAGAAGATCTTAAAGGTAGGCATATAACTTTCTTGTGCAATGTAAAAGTACCAAATCAGGTTCTGGTCATATCTATATAGAAGTCTATGATGAACAAGACTAGGGATCAACCAACCAATGTGAGATAAGATTTGCAAGGTAGTATGGCATCACTGGAGTCAGTGTAACTCCCTGGGCATAATCAAAATTGTCCTGCAAGTATTGTCAAATAAGCTAGGAACTTGCAATACATAGTAGTATGGTATCATTAAGGTCAGAGGAAATCCCTAGGTATAATCAGAATTGTTCTGTTTGTAAGTGCAACAAGTCCCTATCTCTACCATAAAAGGAAGCATTATATTGGAGGTTAAATGCAGTATCGAGTTACTATATGATGCTAAGACCTGAGGCATCTGCAGGAATGGCAGCAGCAGGTTTGGCTTAAGATATGGATTGGTCAAAAGACCAATAATAGCAGCAAATCTGGCTTGAAATATGGGTTCATTGCAGATCCTCAACCATTGTTAGAACACCTTAGAGGAATCAATAACAGGCAAACCAAAGATGGGAAGATCATAAGAATCAAACATACCTGAGTAGGACCAATTTGGGAGTAATACAGTAATGAAAAGGTAGGAAATGTAGAGAACAAGGTAATACTAGATATAGTTAGATTAGGAGGCAGAAGAAACAAAACCAGATAAAACATGTAAGTAGAACATATAGGTATGATTTACAGAAGACAGTACTCTTGGCATTTGGAATGCTGTATTAAGTTTGGTAGATATCCTTGTCTGTGTAGCGGTTTAATATATGCCATGATCGCAAGTGGTTGCCAAGGTAACTGTGTGCAGGCATGTGGCAGACATGCACTTAGATGCCATAAGGGTAACCAGGTAAAGTTAGTGATGTTAAATTAGATAGTATATAGTACTAGTAATAATCGATCCTAAAAATATAACTATAAATTTGTACTATATCAAATTAAGGCTAATAAAAACTAACTGGCATTGTTGCCAAAGTTCAAAAAAAAAAAAAAGACTTTAAGAATATAGTGATTACTATAGTAATTATTATGTTCTATAAAAGTCTTTTTTAAGACAATGATTTATATATTTGTTTGCATATTATGTTATTTATAGTTCTACTATTTATTTCTATTTACTATTTTATGAATTAAAGTTTATTATATTAAAGTTTACTATATTACTGATATATTGTTAGCAATTTTAAAATAAAATGAAATAAATAATTAATAATTTAAAATTATAAATACTGTAATAAATAATTAAATTATTAAATAAAAATATAAAACAAAAAAATATATATGTTATACCTCAGATAGGAATCGTCCCGATTTGGAATTCGGCCGTCTCAATTCAGAATCGGGGTAGCCGGTTTTGGAATTCTTAAGCAGGTTACCCAGATTGAGAATTAGAACTTAACCGAACACATCACGTAAGATATAATCAGGTCGAATTTCAATTATGTAATATTTACGTATTATCAATAGAATTTTTTAACTATTGATACTTTTACTAGAGCCTTTATTTTATTAATTGAACATTTCTACTCGTATTTATTATGTTATTCAAATCTGTATTGATTAATTTGACATATTCATAAACTCTAAACTAATATATATTCTCATCCAATTCAAGTTCACTAGTAATTGAGCTTCATGTGCCTTTTCAAAGTAACAGTCACAATTCTTTAGTTAGCATTAGTGAAACGTTACAATATTAAAAATGTAGCAGAACGTATAAACATAAATTAATTACCCAGTGATTGTACATATTTTCTTCTAATTAATTAAAGTTCTCCAGTTTTGATCTTTGTGGTTTTTAATTAATTAAACTTTACGTTTGAGAAAGTATAGTAGATCATATTGACATAAATTAATTACACGAATAATCAATTCAAGCTGACCAATCGTACAATTACTGTAAGCTATAAATTTAATAATTAAATAAATATGAAAATATATTAGTTTAAAAATCAAGTGCAGATAAAAAAAAAAAAAAGATAACTTATCTTCAGATTTCGATTTTGATAACTTAGAAAATTGCATAATTTTTTTTATGATCCTTAATTGTGCATATTTGGGACGATAATTTTATCAATTAAAAATATCAAATACTTTTGATAATTAAGTAATGAAGTACATGTAGAGAAACTTGGAGCCTTTGCAATAGAAAAAGCAATACGTGATAATAATTGTTATAGACCGATTATACATAGCATTTTATGCCAGTATATAATATGGATTTTGCAAATACAAATTTGAAAAAACAAAAAAATTGAATTATCATTTGACCCTTCAGTTTTCAAGCTTTGTGCTTGCATTTTAAACTTTTTGGATGACACTCACTCCTACATAAAACATTCGCCTTTCTGCAAGAACATCTGGTTGTAAGACAGTCACCCTTGCAATTACATGTTTTATTGCTGACAATAGCATTGGATTGTAATCTTGCAGCTTCGATTACACTAACAGTCATATTGGTTGAAGGATCATCAAGCTCTAAAAATTCTCTTGGTCCGAGAGGTAAAACTTCACCGACTGGAAATGTACTTTCAAGAACACCAAATCGGCATACAAGGCGATATACAGTACATCGTTGGGAAGTACAGAAAACACTTTACATGGTAGTGCACAATGATCACCAGGTCCACAGTCGATCTTAGCGATTTGTACTTTAACAAGATCACCAACTTTATAACTACGCTCATGAATGTTGTATTTGGTACGCATTTGATGCTCCATTTTGGAATGATAATCTTTAAGATTTCTATTTGCAGCTTGTCGATAGATATTGTGCTAGTGAATTGGATTATTTGATGAATCTTGAAGAATTTGAAGACGACATTTTTTGTTTGACGTAAAATTATACGAATTAAGTCCATCATTTTCCTATTAATAAATCAAAATGCTAAAATTAATAGAATGAACTTCACAATGATTACTGTAAAAAAATAATATAATTATAACGACCTTGTCTCTCAGGATTGGTTCTTGATTATCTGTGATGTTACTATTACCATCAAATCATGTTTGTTGACCATCAAAGATGGATTGTTGCATTATTTTGTGACTACCCTCTTTGTCTACATTTCTTACTTCACTTTCAGGATCAGACAACTCATTTTCTAAATTAAAATATGTTGTTAAAATTTAAAATTGTTGAAAAAAAAATTTTTAACTTATACTTTACCTCTATTAACAACATTATCTGTGTTCAAATGTACAGGACCGCAACTACCTTGCTGAAGAACTAAATTTTGCCTATCATTATTCATAAAATTAATATCACTATCATACAAAATACCTTCATCATCTATATCCATTATCTCTGGAAATACAGAGTTATTACTAAATTGTTGAGTCGAAATTTGCTCATTATTATCAAAATGATCAGTATAATACATATCGTTACTGCTATCAACATCTTCAATATCACTCTCATTTTCAACAATGTTTTCTGGTAAGTCTTTCTCCATGTTGATATTGTGTTGCCTCCATTCTTCGACCATATTGAAATGTCGTAATGGATGTTGACCAAAAACTAATTCGTATGGAGTATACTTAGTAGGCCTGGAATAACGAATGTTCATAGCATATGTAACTATGGGAAGACCGACACTCCAATCTCTTTGCTGGTTATCCTCCATTCATGTAGAAAGTGTGTTTTTTAAAGTCTTGTTAGCATTTTCAACTAGTCCTTGTGATTGGGGGTGGCAAGGATGCCCATTAATTATGTGAACTCCTTTCTATAAACTAACAAGTTCATAAATAACCTGAGCTGTAAATTCATGCCCATTATCGCTTTGCAAAATACAAGGAGGTCCAAAAACAGTAAAGACTGAAAATAAGAATGCAGAAACTTCTAAAGCCTCCTTAGTGCATAATGGACATGTCTAGGAAAACCGGGAAAAGTGATCCCGAAGATGTGCAATATAATGGTACTCTTTATTCAGATATTTTTCAAAAGAAACTAGATCAATCTGAACCCGTTGTAAAAATTTTTTTGAAATAATGGTTTTCCCAATTATGGGTGCAGGAAAGTTTCTACATGTGCAACATTGTGTACACCGTGCAATATACAACTTCACAAATGATCTAGAAACATACGCATATTGTCTGCTTACTGCTTCATAAGTTTTTTTTGAACCAGAATGCTGCTGTGAACTACCATGCATCTTACCAAGAACATTGTAAAGATTCTGAAATAGGCAAATGACGCAGTCTGTTCTTTCTTTTGCATTTTTTATTTCCATGAGCTAAATAATAGGGTTGTGAAGTATTCCAAGATTACGTAGATAAAAATTATTTTTTGCCCAAAAACGATCCTTTGCAGTTCCATTAGACACGTCTTTGGGATTTTTTAGGATACTTATAATTAAATCATAGTCTTCCTGGGTAATTATTGCTTTTCTTTGTTGCTTGGGTTTACAACTTGACAAAAATTCAGACACCAGTTGATCAAAGGCGGCACGCGAAATAAAAGGTAAATCACTGTTTGTATCCATAATATTGATTATTTGTTGAGGTTTTTAATAAAACTAAGCTA